GGTAAGGTGGGTGAAAGAACATCGGCAGGTTTGAGAACAGTGGGGGAGGGGTTTCTGGATGGCTTGGTGATACCTAGGTTTTTGCCAAACCCCAGGTCAGGTGGGTGAAAGAACATAGGCAGGTTTGAAAACAGTGGGGGAGGGGCTTTTGTTTCTGGGAAATTGCAGCTAACAAAGGATACGTAGTGAGAGAGAAGCACCGACAAAGTCGATCACAAGCGTTATCACGAATAGTTCGTTTTGAAATAAGTAAAAGTAAAGTTAACGAAGAAAATAGCACCGAAGCCGTCCAGCGCTTATCGCTGTTCAAAGTGAACTATTGTAATCCCCACGTTATACATCGATCAGCTGACTGAGCCAATGGGTTCCTCCTGTTTTTATGCATAGAAAGCATTATTACACAGCTGTGCAGGAGCGATTTTTCGTGCGATTTTGAAGCACTCATGAATACTTCGAAATCATTCTCTCAATTTTCGTTCGTTCAAGTCATGAGGGCACTTGTGGGGGAGTAGGCCTGAAAAAGCTACTCGACAAGCGGAGCAGTTGCTGGGGTGCTTCTTAGGACAGGTATCTATTCCTCAGAGGAAAAGGTGCATTAGCGGAGCCCGAAGCCCTTAGTAATGCGTTAAGTTCGCAATTTTCCATGAAATGATAATACGGAAAACTCGTGTTGCCGGCCTTAGTGCAATTGCCCCGCCTTCCCTCCCTCATTTTTACATAAATTCCCATTATCTGGATGTTTTCCCGATTTTTTAACACGACTTTTGTGGCCTCTATATTCCCGATTAGAAAGCCATTAGCTCCGTGGAGTAGCCTAACGCCATTCGCCTCAGATTATGCGTAAAGGAAGCGCGAGGCAAGAAATCTCTCGCAAAGTTTGAAAGCACTTCCATGTCTTCAATGTTGGAGCTTTGCAGTTTACGGTAACGAATGCGAGGCAGGAAATCTGTGTTGAGGGTGCACCAGTCCATTTCTGGGAAGCAGCCCGCATTTCACTTCCATACAGAATCGTAGAGGCCTAGTGAATGCAGTGTGGCCTAAACCATGACTTGCGGGGGACAGCCGATCTGTAAATCAGTCTCCTTATTCTCCCGGTACCGATTCACCGCCCCCGATGATAGAAGGTTTGGTTGGTTGAAGGTTGAGAACCGATCTGCGATTTGGTCCCCTGTGCTGTGCGCGTGGTAAGCGTGCCAATTGCCATTACACCGCCTCTGCCTCAAGAACTACAGCAAGTCCGGTCAACTATTCAGGGAAGCCACGACAGCTGGGTTAATTTAATGTCGTCTCCGCAGCTCTGACTTCGTGACCCACGCTCTGAGATTTACACCAGAAGGCTGCAGTTGAGCTTACAACGTGTTTGGAACCTTAGGATGAAATACAACTGGTAAAATTGATGCCGGAAGCAGTGAGATTGTCACTTACTAGAAGAGAAGCCAAGCAGTTCTGAAGCTGCTATGTCACTCACCGTGTCGAACGTGTGCTGTGGCTGTTGATAGGTTTGTGTCGCTCCTTGACTCATTGTGTCAGCCGCTGCCTGCCAAACGTTATGTGTTCGAGCTGCCCTGTTGTGCCAAGCTGGAGGCTGTGGAGCCGGTACCTAAAGTAATCCTAGAGTTCAGCTGTTTTTTCTGGGAGTTACAACACATTACTGCGCGAAAGGTGGAAAAACAGCAGAGGAAATGGCTGGGGAACAGGGCTACGTAGTCCAAGGGTCTTGAGTATCTGGTTCTTCCCATGAGTAAGGCCAAGGTGAGTCAAGCAAAGCAAAGCGTCGGCCTTAGGTTGGTTCATACAGGTGCCATGGGAGAAGGAGTAGCTGTGGACGAAGGAATGACTTATGGTGTAGCCGAACAGCAGCGCTTATTTCTTTTATGAAGCAAGTAACTGCCAGCAAACAGGTGTTACCGACGGTGTGTGGGTGAACAGCGTGCAACACATGCATTTCGTTAGAATTCATCGTCGACGAACCCACGCGCGTGGTTGGTAGTGAAAATCCTACGCCAGTGGTTACCTGATTGTTCGAACCTTTGACACAGCTCTGTCGATGAATGCTTTAGGGCAGCAGCTGTCAGAACATTGAGATGGGCGAAAGAACCCATGCCAAAGCTGGGGATTGGATTTTCGACGAGAGAGGCTCGTAGTGGTTGAGAAAGTCGGCCGACAAAAAAAATGTTCGAAATCCGAGCATTCAAAAATATCAGTCACATGGCGCTGTGCAGGCTTGAGTGGCGCAGAGGAGAGCCAAAAATCGAGGCGGTTCAACGGATCGAGTTGCCCGTACATCTCGCCGCACTCATACTGCCGAGGCGGCGAGATTTTTGACGTTTGGGAAAAATGTGAGCGCTAATGAGAGAGAATCGATGAAT